GAGGGACTGCAGGGTTTAGGGTTTAGGGATTTTGGGGCTTTTGGGGTTTAGGGCATAGGGGTTTAGGTTTGGGTTTAGGGTTTAGGGTTTTTAGGGTTTAGGGTTTTTGGGTTTAGGGGTTTAGGGGTTCGGGCTTAGGATTTAGGGGATTAGGTGTTTAGGGTTTAGGGTTCAGGGTTCAGACTACACCCGGCTGCTGGAAGTGTACAGCTTTGCACAATCGATACAGTAGAACCCTGCTCAAAACAGAGCTTCAAGATCTGTGTGCATGTGTGTCCTAATCCTGATCATTGAACCCCGTTTGGTTCTCAACCACCCAAACCCTCCCTGCTAGCTACTTGCACCTCGGGTCTGGGCGTTTAGGCTGGGACCACGGCTTGTCACAGGTGCAGCCTTAGGGTGCAGGATCTGGTCAGCGAGTTGGGTTTAGGGTTTAGGGTTTAGGGTTTAGGGACTGAATGTCAAATCTGGCCCCCAAATCCCAAGCTGGGCGACCCTTACTTGCTCCACCTTACTCCCAAAGCCCAACAGCCTCAAGCCCGCAACCCACAAACCCCAAGCCCTACATCCTAAGCCCAACAACTTACCCGAAGCGACATCTCAAACCACACCGCCTGGTGTCAAGATCCACTCGACCGTGGCTTTGAAGAGACAGCTGCTGTCTGGGCTCTCGAAAGGCCACTTCGAGCCTGCGCCGTCGGATGTAGCGTTCAAGGCTTCAGGCTCAAGGTTCTACAAAGGGCCTCGTAATAATTAGAATAAGGCCCTAAACGGTAATATACGTAATAATTGGGACTTCTTCAGATGAATGGTTCAAGAACTTTGCAACGCCTATAACTGCGAGATTTGCGGTTTGAGGTTCGTGGAAGCAGGTTCAGGTGTCGGATTTAGGGGCAGGATTCCTACACTCATCACACACCTAAACTACAAGCGCTTCAAAGCCCAGCCCGAACTCCCCTAAACCCTAAACCCTAAACCTTAAACCCTAAACCCTAAACCCTAAACCCTAAACCTTAAACCCTAAACCCTAAACCCTAAATGAAAAAAAAAACACCAAATCTTAGGACCAAGCGGCCTATGGGCAGTTGGGCATTGCACTCTGGATCCAACCACGTCCAGAGCCAGAGGAGGCCAGTGTTGGGAAATCCTGGCACGCCGGGCTTGCTTAGGGTTTAGGGGGGTTTAGGGTTGAGGGGTTCAGGGTTCAGGGTTCAGGGGTTAGAGGTTCAGGGTTTAGGGTTTAGGGTTTAGGGTTTATGGGTTCAGGGTTTAGGGTTTAGGGTTTAGGGTGGCACGCCGGGCTTGCTTAGGGTTTAGGGGTTTATAGGGTTGAGGGGTTCGGGGTTCAGGGCTTAGAGGTTTAGGGTTCAGGGCTTAGGGTTTAGGGTTTAGGAGCCTAAATCCTTGAACCCCAGGATTGGAGGTGTAGGCTTTACTGGGTTTAGGGTTTAGGGTTTAGGGGGTTTTGCTTTTGGCTTGTAGGGCTTGCAGTGTTTTGTTTTTGAGCTGAACGTTGTGGGGTTTAGCTTAAAACGGGCTGGCCTTGTATAGTTCACGGCCAAATTGGTCCAGAGCTTTTGGGTTTAGGGCTTGGGGTTACGGGATGTGTGACATGAATTACAAGTCTCAAAAAAGGTGCTTGAATCATAAAATGCGCATGGAACGCCCAAGCCCGAACCATAAAGATGCGCCGAACCCAACAGAGAACTAAAATTCTCTGAGTTGAGCTTTAGAAGGTACCCTAAACGTCTTAACCCAGATGGATGGTGATGCCTCTATCTTTCAAGAGATGCTAACCATCTTCTTATAACCCTGTACAGACCTTAAGGAATCTACGCCTGATTTTATCTTGCCCTCACTCAGGCTTCGAAATAGCAAGCCAAGCCCCAAACCCCAAGCCCAGAACGTTTAGCCCTAAACTCGTAAACTCCGAAACCCTAACCGTAGCCGAAAAGACCTACCGTTTGAGGGTTCCTTATTCTGGTTGCTATACGGAATTCCTGAACAAGGTAGGCCCTAAACCCTAAACCCCTAAACCCTAAACCCTGAAACCCTAAACCCTCGGCTGCAGGTCGACCGTAAGCTCTAAGCCAGGCGCACCAGCGATGCCCGCGGAGAACAAGGCGCCACACCAAAAAAAACTCATCACATGTCCGGCCTCCCGGCTTCGCAACACGGTTCCTTTAAAGGGATCCTCAACAGGTTCTAGAAGGTATCAAGGATAGGGTTCTATAGTAGGTGACTCGATAATTTGGTTTAGGCTTTAGAGTTTATTGCTTAGGGTTTAAGTCTAGTGTTTAGGGTTTAGGGCTTAAGGTTTGGGCTAGGGTCTAAGTTTAGTGTTTAAGCTTAAGGGCTTTAGCCACTTCACAATATTTCAACTTGATAACTAGCAACGTCATACCCTACCCCTTTCTTAGGGTACATAGTTTTGTATACAATATACTCTAATCCCAGAACTAGCTACCCTAAGGGGGTAGGGTATGACCCTCTAGGTATTACAGGAAATATTGTAACATCTTCAGCAACCGCCCAACCCTAAACCCCACAATCCCCTCGCCCCCGCCCACGACTTGTCCCGTCGGGTGCGATGCGACATTTAGCTTCGATTGGACTGTTTGCCCGGAGCGCTGGGTGCACTTGGTAAAACAGGAGACTTCGTGAGTTGGCAGCAAGTAGAGTCATGGATATGGGTGTGGGGGGTTCAGGGTTCAGTCCTGCAGTGTGCATCGTACAACCCTAAATGGGGTACCGTTCTAGTGACTCCTTGAACCGGCTGGCTGCGGCTAAGTTTCCTGATAGCTTAAGTGTCATCGTGTTCGTACTTCCCTGCAACAAGTTGATGAAGTTTCAGAGCACTAACTTATATCTTAAGAGTCAGAGCCGGACAAGCTAAAACGTTTGGTATTGAAGAATTTAGGCTCAAGGCTTATATGAGTTGGATCATCTGTGCTTTGAAGACCAGACATATTGCATACGTGGACTGACGTCGCTACGGCATTGATCGAGCTTGAGTGCGCTCGTTGCGGCATGCACCGGAAGCGGCTTCGGCTGCCTCTTTCCAGATTTTTGGGAGTTTGTTTGTGCTATAGGAGCTCTGAGGCGTTGGGCTTTAGGAGCAATAATAATATAGGGGCCTTAATAATTAGAATAGGGCTTTTGGGGGGTTCCTTATTATGAATAATTATAGGCCCCCAAACCCTCTTCTCGCTATTAAGGCCCTTATATTATGGGGACTTACCTCCCTGGTTTAAGACTTCTGACGCCTAAACCCCTCACACCCTGGGACTAAGAGGGGTTGAGGGTTGGGTGCCCACTGCACCCTTCAACCTAGGTTCTGCGGGAAGCATGCACCGACGAAACTGAGCTGTCAATCAAACCTGGCAAACAAGAGCAGAGCAGTTTTGGAAAAAGCTTTTGAACGCAACACAAGAATCT